CTAACGCAGGCAAAATATAAGCACATAAAACATTACGAATTATTATGGAAGCCTATTCGCGTATTCAGTGATAATATCATAACCGGAAGGGCCACTGCCGGTTAGGGCTGGCCACAATCGGTGCCAGAGTTCCGTTCAGCGAGCTGCCAGGGTGCCCCAGTGGACCCCTTACGGATAGGTAGGCTCATGTTCCTAAGCTACCAATGTTGTTACTGGCATGGCGATGGGGGTACCCCTCTTACGGATAGGTAGGCCCATGAGCTGGCTGCTTGGCCAAAATAGCCTCTGAACCGGCCAGTGTTGCTGGTGCAGTGTTATTAATAACGATCGCAGGAGGAAACAATCGCAAATACTCGTCTGACTGTTCCTGGAGTTGGCGAAGAGCACTTTTGAGCTGTTTTTTGCGTCTGCTTCTGTAGTGCTCGAAATGTGTCAGACAATTTTTTTTAATTTCTTTTTCCCCCCCCCAAAAGCAAGACAATTTGTTCGGACGTAGTTAATTGATAAATTCGAATTATATGTTTCGTCCACGGCGTCATTAGACTGACCTTCTCATCAGATTACCTCCATACGAGGCACGGACCCTGCATACCGCTATATAAATCATGGCAGCTGCGGATTAACACACTCAGGTCCGTTTCTAGAGCATGCAAGACTTCTTCGACTGAACTCTTAAAGTAGCTGCGGTCAGATACATCCAGGCCAAGGTGGCATTCCGGTCAGATTCATAGAGGAAAAAGCATGCCATGAAGAGGGGCATATATGATTTCCCTTGCATGAGTGCAGACTCTGCAGAGTCGATACTAACGATGATAAAACACCCATCCATCACAACTGTCTGGAGCCACGTACGTTCGAAAGGCCAAAAAAAAAAAAAAAAAAAAAAAAAGGAAACACCGCGTTACCCGGTAGTTCGCAGGTGCATGGGGAAAAACTGAGTGAGGGCACTGAGGGGCAAGGTCTTGCAATCCTGTCTGTTTCTTTTGTTTCGTTAGACAATGATTTGTTTTTTTTATTAGGGAAACTAAGCTATATATTGTCAATTTCACCTTTCAAACCTGTCTGTTCCATATATCACAGTTGTTATACAGACAGCTACTGCTTCAAGGAAAGAACGAAACAAAAAGCACTTGGCGTTATACAGACTGTTCGTTTCCAAGGGATCTAACGTCATCTTTTGCTGAGGATAACAGTAGTGCTTTAGGGGCACATTTCCCCGATTTTTTGAAGTCCTGTACACACACGAGAGAGAGAGAGAGAGAGAGAGAGAATGTACGATCTTCTAAACACAAGGATCTAGATTCTACACGTGCCAGGCTTTATCATTCGGTTGAATCTGTCATGATTTCATTACCGGTATTCTTGGCTAGAACTCGCCGCGCTCGATCCTGATATATTTGCAAAAATCAGACCGGCGCCATCTCTTGAGAGATGGATATGAAAATAAGACCGGCACCATGCAGAAGTAACGAGTAGCATCAACAAAAAAGGGAGACTCAACAAAACCACGAGGGCCAGAAGAAGTGGAACTACAGGCATCGACGAAGCAAGAAAAAGACAACCTACCGACTTAACCCGAACTTCCCGAAGCCCTATCATTAAAGCTGTATTGGCACAACGTTCGGTCCTGATGCGGCGATAATGACCAGGCGTTCTATTCGGGTGCAAACGGTAGGACGAATAATTATGACGAGGCTCCAATTTGAGAAACCACAGCATGATGTGCGCGTAGGCACATCTAGGTGTGCAGCCTTCCACCGATTGTCATCTAGTGCACTGACCAAATGTGCAAAATGGTAATGAACCTTCTGCCAGAAAATGGAATTATACACAGCCATATTTTCCGTCTTTTGAGCACGTGGAGGGTTGCCGAGCGAGCCGCCTTAACAAAAAAGCTTTTCCAGTTCTCGTATCTCGGAAGGGCTACTTCGCGACCCAGCTCTGATTGCTTGTGGTGATACGGGCCGTGGAACTAAAACTCTTTTTTTTTTTTTTTTTTTTTTACCAAGTGCTCCAATCTGTTGGTGGGGACCTCTACAAAAGAAAACCAAAAATTCTGAGACAGAGATGCTCCTGCCTATTCGGCCGCCCGTCACGGGCCAATTGGAAAGTGTATCTTGGCCCATGGTGCAATTATACCTCATTTTGCGACTCCCACGTAGTTTCCCCAAAAACATTATCGCACCCTAAAAATGAATGTATACGAGTTATATTTCCGGCCAGATACAGCCAAAACACGGGTGCGTTGTGTTCGGGGGATGACGGTAGTTTCTCAGACCATCCAAGCCGGGTAATGGCCCCCGCGATCTGTAAAAGAAAGGGCAGTGAGGTATCACGGACGCCCTACCCGCGGCCAAGTCCCACTAGCATTGCTCCCCTTCCTGTCTTCAGAACTACGCAGCACATTGCGACGGCGGGCGACATTGTGCGGCCTTGTTTCTCCGTGGGGCAAAACACTTCTTCCAGATGGAGACAAAAATAGAAAAAATAACGCAGACGAACTGACCCCGTCGCCGTCGGGTGTGGGGTATAAATAATCGGCCAAGCTGCACTGAGCTCTACATTCACAAAAGACAAAACACCCGGGACAAAGTTCATTATCGAATTCCACCTTCGGAGAGTGCAGAGAGGCCCGGGGCTAGGTCCCACTTGCACGAATTACGAGGTACTGACCGTAGATAGCAACGATCAACGGCCGAAATCTCCTAATTTGCGCAAGTGGGACCTTGCCCCCGATGGTGACGGCTTTCCTTTCTCAAACAGTCCCGCCCTTTTTGTTTTTGCCCTCTCCATTTCTGTTTTTGATTCGTCACCGCCGTATCTACAACGGGCCTGGAGGTCCCCCTCTCTAGCTTGATATGCACCGCCCCAAACAGGACTCGCAGACAAAAGAAGGTGAACATGTGCACCGCGCCAGTGGGGAAACACCGATTCATGCCCTGCCTAAAAAAGCCAACGTGAAAATGGAGAGACTGGCCGCCCTACGATCCAAGGCAATCGGTGGTGGCAAGGAGTGTCACAGAACACGGAGGTCCCCATAACGGGATACAGGGATTTGGCCTCGTTTTCCGGCTGCGCCCCACCAATAAATCGGAGGGTCCAATCCAGCAGAAAACAGAGCAAGTGCCGAGTTCTATTTAGCAACAGTTTCATGTATACAGGGGCCGTGTCCCACTATCGTCGCTTTAGTTTATGTTTCGTGTATTTTCCTACGTGGTCGCACAAGGGCCGTGAGATTTTCAGATGAGATGGCAAGGACCCATGCATATTCGAAACCAGAACAAAACCTCGAGAAGTGGACCATGGCCCCAGGAGGAACTGTTTTGGAACAGTTGTTTCTGCGAACAGATATTATATGACTGGCCCTCCTGCCCACCGCCGGCCCTCCTGCCCCGTCTCTGACTAAAGCTGTTGGGGCGGGGGGAACTCTATTTATTTCGTTTGCGAGGCCCTATGCTTGCAGGGGACTTTGCTCATGGGATATCTCCTCCCATCTATATATAGTCTTAGGAATAGTGGTAGGAAGGAGTGAAAGGCAAAAAGAATTTGAGAGAAGAACACAAGTGTAGATTTAATTTACGAAAAAGAACCTGATCGCTAATCCGCGGCCGGACCCCATGAAGATGCGTCCAGGCACATCCGGATTGCAGGGGGAGGTCTAGCCTGTGGCATACTGCGGCGTTTCGTAGCACCACCATCCACCCAGACTCCCAAGGGTTACGATCGCCGTACGCTCCTCAGCACGCTCCTAAATGCAGTACATGCAAGCTGTCAATATTTTGTCTTCGGCACCTGGAACCCAGCCTGAGAGAGTGCTACGTACGACTAGACACCGGTACATCCTACGCAGTACAGGAGTACACTACTTGGGTACAAAGCACCCACCAGGACAACAACGGCCTCCAATCGAACATAGGTAAGAACACCGTACACACCGTACCGCGCATTACGTTTGGTAGGTTCTTGCAAGTCTTGCACGCCTATAGAAGTAGTTGCGAGTCCCTTTGCAACGTCGGTACAACAGCTACAGCTATCGTCCAAGTACTGCCTAATCAGGCAAGTAATCGCATCGAACATCCTACTCTGCTGGGAGCCAACCTGAGACAGTGGACAACGCACGATTATACATGGGTACTACCACTGACACCAGTCTCCAGAGGCTTCCAAATGAATATCTGTAAAGTACATGGGTACACTGCTCGCAAATGCACGAGGCAACGATGTAATCGAGATTGAAATCAACATTTATTGGCACGCTTTAGAACACCACAAGATTGTTGGCACCACCTCGAGTACCCCCACTGCATATACCGCAACCATCTCCAGAAGGCCCACATATTTGCGAAGAAGGAAAAAACACACGTGGAAAAGGCAGTCGTTAGCTGCAATTGAAAGATCATTGAGCAATGGGGCTACACACCAAAGAGTATCCACGGACTTGTAGAACATTGACTCCGATGATTGTGCAGAACGAAGACAGTCTGATCATGGGACAGAGAGGCTGGGAACGACTCGGCAAAAATGCTGTCAGGGATACTGAACTCCGCCTGCGAAAGACACGTGAACATTTTATACACCTTACCCCGCCTTACGTTTCGTAGGATCTCGCAAGTCTATGGTGATAGTCGCGAGTCCATTTGAGAATCCACATGTCATTGACAGCTGCAGCTATCGTCCAAGGACTGCGTAATCATGCAAGCGATTTTCTCGAGTTGGTCATATACTAGCATACACGTATTAGCATCCAACCTCCTACTCACTACCACATCACCCACGGACTCTGAGATTGCATGGACAGAACGCGACAAGGCCAACTGAAAACTCCTCTGTCATATACTGGAGACAATAAACAACGAAATATCCCTTCACTAGCGAGTCCCGTGGCCATATTCAAACTGCCATCCGTTTCTGTGATTAGATGTGATGCCTACTAATCTACCATAAATGCCGTCCAGAGTCCAAACCATAATGGGAGGAGCGTTGGATTGAGTACATCCGGTAATTTTCAGACTTTCCCGTGGTATAGAAATCAGACTGGACATGAAGCCGGGACCGCAAGGCCGAGAGGCAAGCTTTACAACGTGTTGCTGAATGCTCAAACTATTGATCCTCAGTCATCAGCAGACACAAGCCTGCTTGAGAGCGCTTATCGTCCATGGTCAAAGCAGCCACAGCATAGCAAAAGTTACGATTTGCAAACTGCCCATAGCCTACGCAGACATCATACCACAATGAACGTAAACTACGATCTCCATTAGCAAGGCGGAAGTATCTTTCAGAACAAGACACAGCACATCACAACCCTGCTTGAAATGCAGACAATTTACCACAATTCAACAATTTACCAACTGTCCATAGACAGAGCAGACAGCACACCACAATTGACCAACTCAGTGCACAACGATATCCATCACCACGGCGGAAGTATCTTACAAAACAAGCACAGCGCATCAGCCAAAAGACGACCATGACATATTGACGCAATCACTTGACACATGGCATCGCCAAAAACAAATATTCGCCTCGTTAACACAGCCAGTGACGACAAGTTACGAGGATTCAGAGAAAGTGTGAACAAGTGCAGATCAATCGCCTGCCAACTCCCATGGCCAATACACAGGCGCCGGAGATGCAATATCGCAAGAGAACAGATTCGAAATTCGAGAAAACTGCCATAGCGATTAACTTCGACAAGAAAACTGCATCGTAATATCCAAAATCGCAGATCCAGCTACACATTCCTGAATGGCACCGACCTCACACTACCATCATGTCTGTTGACAAACACGTCATGTATATACCGCACCTTTCTCGGAAACGAATACCAGTCACACTTCTCGGAATTTTATCATCCTTCTGGCTCTCTATACAAATCTCTCACCGGACGTCTCTCCGTTCATCACGTACTCAGCAACACAAACACGAACTTCAACGTCTTCAATGGATTTCACTGCGTCTAGTCACTCCACACCTAAATAACTGCTCTGATGGCGATGATCGGCATCACGCGTCTCCTAAAAATCTAAACACCAAGTTGAAGGTCCCAGACTCCATGCAACAGCATCAAGAGCCCTCGCCAATTTCCAGCAGCACGTTTACAGGCTTGCTCTCGATAAAAACCCACACAAAAATCGTCCTGTCAGTGGCCAACATCTCCGACTTTATCTTCGGCCGAGATGCTCAAATCGATCCTCTTGAATGGAGCCCATCGGACCTCCAGCCCTCCAAGTGGAGCGATTGGCGACCCAGTTATTATCCACACATTAATCATAAAAAAAAACAAATCTCTGCGTTCAACAAGAAATCATTAACGTCTAACCTCGGAGGACACCAAGCATATTCTGGAAGCACATGCACAGAAGGCTTGCAATAGTGATGATGATCAAATAGGCATGTTCGCCTTCTGAACACAGAGGGTCGTGTTCCAAAGTCACCGACTGGACATGAGCACCTCCAGCACTGGTCGTCCAAACCACGCTTCAGGTCGGAGCTGAAAAGCCTCTCTTGAATATGAACTTCGCGACTGCAAACTTGAAGTCCGACCCTTCGACAACAACTTCACCCTACTGCCTACGCTCAGATCATTGAAATCATATGTTGTCAATCCCCTCTCCTTGAGCGCTTGACGGATAAACTGGAACAAAACTGCCGAGCAGCCCAAGTTCCCCAGAACGATAATCTCGAATGATCGACCAGATGAAAGATGAAATAATCACATGGATCACGCAATGGGTTCGTGAGGCTGCACACGCTGCGTGAATAGCCTAAATGGATTCCTTGGACTTGCTGTAGATCAACGGCGAATACGCAGGCGACCACATCATCCGCTCCACGTACTCCACAATTTCATCCTGCACAACAAAAGATTAACAGATCGCTGTCAGTATCGTTCGTTGTTTTGCAAACCAATTCCGCGCCCCAACGGGGCACACGAAGCAAAACAAAACACCCAAACACATCAAAGTGAACGCCTACAGAAAGACATTAAACGCCACCTTTGCGCTGCAATGGAGCCCTAGTGACTTCCTAGTATACAGCACACAACAAAGAGGGCCTGCAACAGCATACGACAGCACGCTATTCTATTCTGCACTAGTACAACCACAAAAGACTACCCGTACCAAGATCGTACTCCTTTTGCCTTCCGCAAACATACCTGCGACATAGCTCTGAGATCCCTGACATCGGCACTCCATGTTCCTTCTGCCAAGTCCTCGTCTACAGCGGCTTTAACCACCGCGGCACCGACCTCCTTAGCCACCGCTCGAATATCGGTCACAGGTGGGAAAATAACGCCCTTCGCAACATCTTCAGCAGACATCATGGACGCCAACCTGCCAGTCAATCACAACATCAATACGGCCAATTAACATTAGCACACAACATCAATACGGCCAATTAACATTAGCACACTCCTCGCGCCTCGAATGGTTGGAAGTACCAGCTTCCATACCCGTCAAAGCTCCCCAAAACGAGAAGTTTAGTTCATTTACTAACACAGCCGAACGCAGCCCAGACCTTGTCACCCCGTCTTACAGGACATCCATGGATTTCTACTCGAACTGTGTACAAAACTTAAAAGCTGAGATCGAGTTTGCAATCATCAATGCCACTCTTTCTTGTGCGAACAGACCATACTGAGGATGATTTCAACTCAGAAATTCAGACACCACGATCAGTAGGAAGCCACCTGCGCAACACAGCTCTAGTTGACAAGAGCAAGCATATCACCAGACGATTCTTCGTAGTGTGGGGCTGCTGTGAAGTTCTCTTACCACTGGGCCATTTGCTGGGAACCCCTATGAATCTTGGTCCTCCGAATTCTCACAAAGGAAGAAATCCGAGATTCAGGGCAATCAGTACGAAAGCAAAGTTGTAACTCAATTGTCATGACGTTCAATATAATTTGGAATCAGTACGAAAGCGAAGTTGTAACTCAATTGTCATGACATTCAATATAATTTGGAATCGTTGATTACACCGAGTAGGATCCTTGAGGGAGTGCTCAATTACCTCTCCGCTGCTGCATGAAGCATTCCATCCGTAACGAGGCGAGCTCCAGCCAAATACGTTCCCAGCCCAATTCTGTACAAGGAAACATCATCGAACAGAAACAACCAACATATCAGATCAGCATATTCCCACAATGCCTTTCCTTACCAAATTATTCTTCTGTCAAACAGATATCAACATAACATCGATCTTCGAAGACACTACACTACTTCCCCAATATACCGTCCCTCTGTTAGATACTACACAATACTTCCCTCTGTTCACCTATGCAATACGTTCAGACAGCAACATCTGCCTTCCTGTAAAGTGAAAAAGTGCTCACAGCTTGATCCCAATACGAAAAGACGAGGAAGATAAACTCACCCTAGGAAAAAAACATGTCGCTGCCAAGAGGAAAACAAACTCACCCTGGGAAGAGATACATGTTGTTGCCCTGGTTTGCCTTTCCCACGGCGCCGCTACCTGCAAGCAACAACATCCGCCAGATTCAAAATCACTATTTCACTTAAACAGCACTGCGTTTGAAAGGGCCACCCGGTTACCTGAAAAACCCGGCTCATAAATGCTCAAACATGGGCCCAACTGATGTAGATGATGAGCAAACATGGGCCCAACTGATGTAGATGATTTCGATTCAAAAGACCTAAGACGACGATAAATGCTCAAACCGTTCCAAAACTGCTAGACTATACTATTCGTGCCTCGTCTTGCGATCTCCATCTCTCAATTGTGTGCTTCCAGAATCACCATGCGATCTGATCCCCTCCGAGTACAGTCGTTATCCCCTGTGAAAGCTGCTCACTGCTGCGCAAGGATTCAGGTCGTGGTAGCAAATCCTCTCCTACATAATTCGTGTCTATATCTTCAGGTATGCCTCCATTCCCATCTCTTCCACAATTTCATTCACCCGGTTTTTGTCCCCTGTAGATTCATCCTAGCATCTCCATTAACCTCCATGGATCAGATGTACCCTGCAACTCCTCTATTCACGTCGATGAATAGGACCCCTCTGACGCTCTAAACGCACACACCACTCACCCCTAATATTTCTGAAGAGAGATGCCATTGCCCGACATGTTTCTTTCCCAAAAAACTCCACATACAAAGCACCGGCGGCGGCGGCATGTGAAATGACAACCAGGAGGAACTCACCGAGGTCGACATCCGGGAATGGGCTTCCGCTGGCGAACACACAGTTCCCTCCCAAAATCTTGAAGCAGTCCGTGGAGCTGCATTCAGCTGCACAACAACAAACCCAGTTCAACTCTCAAGTTCAGATTCCAAGCAGTGCAACACAAAGCCCAAAACATTTGCCAGCAAACCGTTGGCTACCAGTGCCCCACTTGCCCCCGAAATAAACCCTGCCACATACGTGCTTTCACATTCCGGCTATTAGCCTAACCAACTCCTACATACATGCTTCGCAAAATACCATCTACATGGCCTACAAAATTCCATGTTCTCTTCAGGCAGAGGAACCAATTGCACGCAAACTCGGTCGTGAAGTGCTCAGCAAATCCTGACACGGAACGCACAGCCTCCACAACGTGCCTCGAAAGAGACCCGCATACATACATACGTACATGTACCCACGAAAGCACTCCCAAACATCATATTTCCTCTTATACACGCGGGGACCTGGATACAAGCTGCATGCGATCTGACCGTTTTACTTCTAAGATCATTTCGGGTTCCAAAGAAAGCACAAGATGGACGAAATCCCGCCTTGGCAACTTCATTCCTAGGGACCCTGCACACATACCCCACCTGCGAAAACGCCATGTCCAAGCAAATAGATATGGAATGGGGACAGTCTGACCGATCAAAACATTATTCAGTTCCAAAGTTAGGAAAATTTACCATTGCTTGTCGGGTTGGACATCGCGAAAACAGCGGGCCTGTGATTCCTCTCATGCTTCATGGCCTCAAGAATCTGATAAGACACGCCGAAAACATATCCGTTAGAACGTACCACAACGAGATTCTAACACAGTTTAGACACCATGCCAATCACACAGCTGATCATTGATAGAGAAAAACGCATATCGGTTGACGCAAATTACCTGTTTGTTGAAGATGCCTCCAACGCCAGAGAGACCGAGCAGAACATCAGGTTTCACCTTCTTCACCTGCACGAGGAAGTAAGATAAAGAAACCAAGTCATTCAGGAATCTTCGCCATCATCAACGCTTCGTTATGCCAATCAATGGGTTGATAGTACTTAGGTATACAACATACAGCATGAGATGAGAAGTCCACTATACAGCGATGGTCAAGGAAACGTACCACATCAAGAAGTGCTGCACCTTCCGGAAGAGCAAGGCTTCCGTTGACAGATCTTGCGTAATCCTTCACATCAGGATCCATGTCTTTTCTCTCCTCTGTCACGAGACCCTGAGCAACCATTACACCAAAAAAGACATGCACGACAGTCGCCACCAAACATCAGCACAAAACGCATTGCACATTAACGACAGAACAGCTAAAAACAAACTGAGAACCTACTTCGCACGGCCTCCTCTAGCCAGTTACCGATTCGTCAAACACAGCCAGTCGTCATCTATTCCGCGTAGCGAGCTCTCTCGCACTGCAACGCTATCAATGCCAGCTGCGTCACACACCGCATCCATTCATGAGCACACCGTCGCCAATGCCAACAACGGACGACATCAACATTCAACAACAATCAGCCATGTACATTGCTCCAACCTAAGCATCGAAAATCGGTGGGTACAGCTGTCATCACCTACAAAAACACTTCACTATTTAACATGATCACCTACAAACACACCATCTGACAGTAAACGCCGAGTACATAGCCGCTAGTTTCCAGGTTACTTTGCCTGTGTTACGCAGAACAAACACTGAGTTATTACAAGCACGCACAATAGTCACCGCCTCGAACAGTACGTACCTCCTTATCCAAAATCCAGAAGTTCTCGGCTGCCTTTTTCAGCGTTTCAGCAGACACACCCTCGGCCATGGCCATGGATTCCCGCACCATGTTAACGACACCGAGCCCCGCACTGCAAAACAAAGCCATAGTGAAGCATCGTTAACACGCTTGGCACAATTCGCTTTTCATGACAATCACCAATGTCAGTACAAAACGCCTTGTCTACAAGACAACTTCATTGAAAATTCACAGAAAACTGCTCCTAGAGCAGACAGGTCACCGATCCCATCAACTAGACAGATACGCACCTTCCAGCTCCAACAACGACAACCCTCATCTTCGAAATGTCAGACATCGGCCTTCCCATCGCCCGGACAGATCCGAGAATACCTGCCAACGCCACGCCGGCCGTACCCTGCAAAACAGTACAATCGTCTGTTACTATACATACTACCGAACTCAATACCTGCCAACGCCACGCCTGTCGTACCCTGCAAAATAGTACAATCGTCTTTTACTATACATACTCTCAAACTTAAGCACACCTCATTCACTTCAAACACTGCAGCACTGTGCATAGCAGAATTGAAGTTCGGCTTTCAAATACAACATACCAGGATCGGTTCATACACTAAATTTTACTTAGTGTATCCTCAGAACACGTTTTTTTAACACTACATATACCATAACAATCACCAGCGACGTAGCAAGGCATAATAGAGTCCTTTTCAACTCACCAAAATCGAATGAAAGACCACATTTGGACGAGTATTGCCTGCAGATTACCTATAATAGCCCCATGATGCTCCCAAGGATAGCGCTGATGCTAAGATAACACAAATCCCCAGAACAAAGGAAATCTGCTTTTTCCGATTAGGAAAGAGACGGTTCTGAAACAGCTATATTGCAAAGGAAATCTTCACCATTTACGAGTGGGAAACAGACCTGAAAACCATTTCAGAACTAATTGGAACGTTGATCTTTCCTCGGGTACGACACACATCTCTACATCAGAGATTCAAAGGCATCCCCAGTACATACCTGGACGTCATCGTTGAACATTCTGTACTTGTTTCTGTACCGCTTCAACATGCTGAACGCCCACTTGTTCTGGAAGTCTTCATGCTGCGAGCCAAAAATCACACCAAGGAGGAATGCCGTAAGAGCCACAACAAGGTACAAAGGAAATCAATCTAACCGAGAACGAGAGTCATCTTCATTAACGTCAACTACGGACATTACCATACGTTACACTGTCAGGCTTCTTCTGAAAAACTGGAATCCAGCGTCATTTCACATCACAAACACATACACGCAGAAAGGAACCGCCCAGGCGTTTTATCAGCCTACCTGCACAATAACCTTCGGCCAACGCAGGTAAACAGCCTCCATGAATTCGTCAAGGACAGCCAGATACTCTTCACCCTCCAGACGCGGTTGCCTCAATCCCAAATCTGAGAGAAACAAATCCAAGAATATACAATCTCAGCCATGACGCATCACTGCAATCTTGCAAGAAACGAACGTGCACATAAAAATTGTCGTCATGATGTTTCAAATCGACAACATAACCGTACGAAGGAAAGAGAGATATAATTATATACATCTGCATGTATTTATAACAACATACAAGCGTATGGCGGAAACAAGCCCAACAGAACGAGCAGTTTTCTCTGTTCAATTTTATAGGTACAGTGCAGTTCTCTAACTTCAACCTTAAAACTTACAGTGCGATCACACTCGTCATTTTCTTATGCCCGACACACATCCAGAGAAAGTAACCCATGCGCCGCTGCACGCCGACACACATTTTGCTCAGTAATGTCACCATATCCATCTTACTTACACAGTGGATTCTCCAGAAGAGCGGTATTGTTCGTTCCGACATCGAGACACACCGGCAGAACCTGCAGACGTTAAAATCGAATTCGTAAGTTAATCAACGGTACAAAGCAATACCTCCATCTCCATGCTCGTCAAAATCAAGTCTGAATGTATCAATCGGTGTCACCGTGTCATCACAGACAAACGATGCCACACATAACACTGCATTCCACACATAACATTCAACACAGTAAACAGCAATCACAAGTCCCGCTACCTAAATTGTGGCCTTGCACTACACATACCGCCACAAATTATTCTTTCCATCCAGCAGAATCCAAGGCGTACCAGTTCGGGCTTTCAGCGTACTTGCACAATGCTTTCCCCATCCATTACGACTGCAAAATCGTTTGAAGTTTCAATTTCGAGCCCCAACTTCAGATCTGACGAGAACACCCGCAATCCAAAGCGTACGATCAAAGGCTTCGTTCCACTCACTCCACTCCACAACACCGTAAATGCATCCGAATAAAGAAGCGGCCCCAATATACGCAAACTGTCCGATGGGTCGGAAATTGTGAAGCATCTGGTCCATAAATTCGAGGTAATATGTCGAATGTTTACTGCAGACCTCAACAACAATGTGCATCAGGAAGTGCGCGACGACCTCTGCACGCAAAAACATGCATGAAAATCGACTTACCCTCGCCGGGTTAATCCCTCCAGCAGCGACGTACAGGTCCAATTTTCCAATAGGAATACCAATGCCCTGCATATATAACAATTCAAAGTAAACCAACAGAGTAACGAAGTCGCAGTCAGCACAACATTCAGCGCAAGACGGAACATTCAAAGAACTATACTCTGTTTGGAAAAGTAGTTCATGATCAAAGAAGTTAATTCATTTCTTCGTTTAGTGCGCTTAGATGAACTCCGCCTGAACTTAAGCCTTCAGAAGTTCAAAAAGATTGTTCTGAGCAGGAGAGCAGATACTCTTTCCCACGATTGACAGTCTGGTGTACGACCGAGCATTCAAAGAACACCGATACATATCAGCTATTCCACAGCACACTTCCAACCAATAAGATATTGCAGTCCCAAGGATATCATAACATAGTCTGCAAACACTTTACAGAATGGGATCAGAAATCATGAGGTCCACGTACCTGAACTCCAAGATCACCAAGTCCAAGAATTCGGCTTCCGTCCGTAACAACAATCACGTCCACCTGCGTCATAGAACAAACATCACATCTTAGCGACGGCCCATGAAAAGTCCTTAAAAGCACAATCAACACGAGAACGCAACATTCCCCTTCTGCTGACCCACAAAAGACAGGCATTCTAAACATAGATCCAGACACATTCTTAACGACCAGACAGAAACATAAGGGAGTCTGGAGTCTACACAGATACGCAGATATTCTGAATGAACACAGACACAATCAGGCATCCTGAACATTCTCACCCCAGACTGGCATTGTTAACATTGAACCGAACACATTGTCAAGACACAAAGCAGACGTACTGTAACATTCCCAAATCTGATGGTCATTCTAAACATACATCCGACCACATTCTGAAGACACTACCGTTCCACACACTCTTGAAACAGAACAGCGTTCCAAACATTGTTAATAAAGACAGGAAGGCAGCCATTCACACAACATTCTTCTTACCGGAGGCGGCAGCAGATATTACAAACATTTTTCAGACAGACGAGCACTCTCAAGACATACCGTCAATCCAAACACTCTTGACACAAAGCGGCATTCTCGTGTGGACGACTTAGAAAAGACAGGAAGGCAGGCATGCAAAATATTATTCACAAGAAATTCTAACAACGATGGACACTATAAACTATCTGACCACAACCCAGACGACCGAGACGAAATGATAGTATATTAGAAACAGAGAGCCACTCCGTAGACTCTAAAGACTCATTTCACAGTGCGACAAAGCCAGATACCTAACTGATTTCTAGCACCCCGAGAGGGAAAGGATCACTTAAATGAGAGTTTGTTCTTCCATGGTTTCACGAGTTCTCCATTCCCAGCAGGCATTCCACTGCAAGTTCCATGAACACCTCCGATTGCATCTATGACGCTGCCCAAAAACGATGGTCATCCGAGGTGGAAGTAGCGATATAAGATGCTTCCTACACCCATGCGGCCCATCCCATTCCTGACCCAGAGAACAACGTGTCAAAGCCCAGAAGTCAGGTGTAGGTTGCAGTCTCGGAGTCCCAAACGACTGCCAAATATTAACCCAACTGTTTTATTGGTTTTCCTTTCAAGGCCGCGAAACAACATACCCGCTCAGACGGCCAGTTGTAAACCATGGATGCCATCAGTCCTTTATCCTTGGCACTGAAGTACATGCCACGAGTCCTCCGAAACAATCCCGAGTAATTTTGACACACCAGTCCCACCGTTGGCGTGTAGACAATAGGAGCGAACTCCTTGATGTTGTCGATCAACACCTGCAAAACAGAGGACCAGTCGCATTCGAGGGCTTAAGTACACGTTCACAACAGGACATTAACCACAGCGAAATCTCAAACATTCAACGGCACGCAAATAATGGAATCGACTCAACATTGCACAATTGATCATGCAAAAGCGAGTACCTACAGAAGTCGCATCAAGCTATCAGTCCCCTCAGAGAACCGTGGACTGAACCCCACTACCAGAAGTCTGTACTGCACTGAGCACGCACACGGTTCCTGCCATCCGATCTGAACACCTCACTGCCACACTAGGCTCACGTAAAACATACTCCAAAAGGACTCAAATCCCGGGGATGTTTGTCCAGACAATAGCAACAATGTCGCTGTACTTTTAGAGAGAGACCACAAGATTATGCCAAGACGTCAATCCTGGTGGTTCTCTCACCACTACCGGGAGAGGCCTTGAATAGGTCGCCTAAGAAACAATAAAAAAATAAAAAAACACTTCTGTATCTGGTCATTTTCATCATCTAACCCCCAAACTGAACCATTCAGCCTTTCAAAGACCAATCAATCAAGACACAGAACAAAACACGATACTTCAAAACCTCGGTCGCATTTTCAAATCTAGACAACACTGCTGTCTCGCTGTTGGTGCAGACAAGGGTATTACTCGAAAATCTCACCCTGTAGTATAGCGTTTCATTTCGGTCGTGAAGCCTGTTCAAAAGACGCCATTGTGCAAGCGCGCGGACATCACTTTCCCCGTCCTTGGTCTTCCTCTCCAGAGACCGAAAACTCAAACCTGCAGAAAACGACAGCGCAAGAAAGTCAAAATGGGTCATAAGATTGACCAATGAAATCAACTGAACCTTGTCCTGACATGCAATAACCGTCCTTTCTGTGACGTCCTTCACAGAGTCTGTTTGAAAGCAGCACCGCACTGGATTTTTCCCTGCCGCAAACCTCCTTATGGACACTTTCACACAAAGCTACAGTCAGGATCATTTTCGAAATTATCACCTTACTAGTTCTCGTCAAATTGAACCCGTACCATATAATCTTCGAGAACATTCCATTGTAAAGATTCAGTAAAGTAAACAAAACGACAAAAGCAGACCGCAAACAAAACGAAAACGCTAACGAGACTATTGACTGCAATCCAAACCCAGTCGACTCTAACCATACCAAGCTAACTTCACCCTGCTTTGCTGCTGCACCTTCAGCACTATAACACTCCGTACAGCACATTTTTCACCTCAAAGGGCTTTTAGGTATGGACTTCAATGTTCACGGGATTTAAACAGTCACAGGCTTGAACCGTCCAATGATTTGTTCAGACAATAAACCATATCCACCGGGCCGCAATTTGTTCCGTTGGTTTCACGCAGGAACATCATGATCACCAGCGGTTCGTTCCTGTTTTGGACAGCACAACGAAAGCGACTGCTCTGTAATCAATCATTCCAAGAAGCAAATCAGACAAAAAGCAAATACAAGATTGTTTTACAATTTTATTCTATAATATTTTATTCAGTAGTATTTTATTTTTAGAGAATTATTCTATAAATAGAATATCAATATGAAATTGTTCAATTTTCTATTTCATAAAAAGTATTTAATAAGTCTATTAAGTACATATATTCTATAATCAATCTTCCAAGACCGCATCCAAAAGCCGCTAAAGGACCATTTTTCGTGCCATTCCTCCGAAAAAACATACGTTAGAGCGCTTCGACTTAGCTCTTAACCTTTTGAAATGCTGATAGTTTCCATGCATAGACCCCCAACAGCGAGTAAGGTTAAGAACAGATCTTTCGCTCTCCGCAGTGTTCTTTTGATTTCTAATGCTTCTATTCTTTCCCTCAATTCTCGAAATTGTGCAGGCCGCAGAAAAAGGATACCGTCTTCAAAAAAGAGAAACAAAAACGGAAAAGGTGACATGACTACCATCATAGACAAAGCGCTTAACAAAACCAAGAGATGTATAAATTCAGTCGCCCACTATTTGTTGTCGTCTTCAAGCTATGTAGAATAGGGCCTCACTACACAAAATACATGCATTTGGACGGTTTCATGAACCTATACATTCAAATACTGACATACGAATGTCACCTGGTCCAGAAAACGTCCGAATGCACTGGATGTTGTTTAGGAGTGAGGGCGATACTCGACATCAATCCCAGCGACATGGAAACTGTGACACCACTTTCCCTATCAAACACCCTGCGAAACAACATCCAATGGAAGGGCTTGAAAAGAATGGACGGTAAAAGAGACCCTGTTGAGCTCGACCCTACTTCGACTCCGTGAAACGGAAGAGTTAGTGGATGTTTCTTAGCGTTAGTGAAATACCGCTATTTCTCAAGTTCCTTTTAGAAAGAGGAGCGTGGACGCCATTAAGAACCACGCCAGGAACAAGAACAGCCAACTGCAAACAAAACCATCACACTTTACGCTGAGAGGGCAGCAGACAACACCCTGTTCCACATGTTCGAACAAAAACCACATACAGAATCAAAAAAGAAGGGCGAATTTTCATTTATTTTTTTCTTTTCTTTTTCTAATGTGGCCCGATGGAGCACGGATCAGATATTAAACTGGTGAGAACAGATGCTACACTTCATCTTAGCCAAAAGGCCGAGAAAGGTATGGCAAGAAGGGCGCCGAATTTAACATCTTCAAAGATACGTACCAAACCGAGCCACCTGCTGGTCCAAAGATATAACATTTGGTGGGAGAAGCCCTCTCATTCCCAGACTATCTCTTTCAACTTGGGGATGTGCAGTTCCCTAACACAGAAAACATTCACACAGCGAAACCTCCAATTAGAACCAAATCACGTCCAAATATAACTCTGGCCTATGAAGTTTCGGACCTGCATCAAACCGACACAATCTGGCAAGATATGTATTGTCAGACCTGGGATGCGTCCCTCAGGTGAGATTTGCATCGTCTACATTACGTACCAAAGTCCCAAACCGTTCAACCAATGCTACCAAACGGTACCACATGTTACCAAATGGTACCGGCCGGTACCGCACTGTGGGACTGCAGTGCCGTATTACAGAGTGCGCGCCAAGTCAAATACGGGATCAAAGCAATTCGAATCAGGCGCCTAAATTCAAGGCAACTGCAACCCAGGTTCCGTCCCAATCAAGCGGCGCATGGTTAAGTAGCGTCAACAGGTACCTTAAATTTATCTCAGAGAAACCATACAAAGCTAAACATACATCCTTATAATTGGAACGATACAGAGAAGATACACACGGCCCCTGCACAAGGATCGACAACAAAAGGCCGCTACGTTCCGTTCCTCTAATTTTTTATTGGATTTTGAAAAAAAAAAGCATGCTTAGTTCTACTGACAAGCAAATCACAGATTTTCATCTGTCAGCGACCAGGACTGTGTCCCTCAGGTTGGCAGTTACAACATGAGTCGACCTGCTGATCAGTCCCGGAACACATACGGTGACATACCTGACTGACCCAGAACACACTCAGGCCCAGAAACGACCCTGTCAGACCGTATGTGGAGCCCACCGAGGATCAGGCCCACAACACATACCTGCACGTGAACGCTTTTCGTCCCCGTCTAAATGGGTCCCGAGCACGTGCTTGTAATTGGATGGTCACCGTCCCAATAGGTCCCGAGCGCGTTCTTCTAGTGCATCCAGCTCTGAACCTGTACGACCGCGGTACCAAATCGATTTAGGGCCTCTTTCGACCCCACTAGAACTCTTAAGATTGGGAAATTCTTCGTTCCACAACTCCCTCATGACGCCGCCGTAATGTTTTTCACTTCCCTGCCTCAAGGGCGGCCGGGGTAAAAATCGCACTTGAACTCGAGGTCCAAGTGCGAGCGGATATCGACGCGGACTTTGAGCGGGCTTTTGTTTTTGTTTCCTTTCTTGTTTCCTTTCTTTTCCAGCAGCCGACCCTGCTCCAGGATTGGTCAAGCCGTGGCTTGGGGTTTTAAGTACAGCCATGGGTTTGGGTTTCCTCAAGGTTCGAAAATACTCGGCCTCCGAGGGCGCAACGAAACGACGACTCGGCGTCCTGAAAGTTCGGGAGCTGGCAAGAACTTGTCGAAAATAGGCTCCAAGGTAAAATAAAATAAGCACAATTTCTCGGTCAGGTTACACTTGAAACTCGGTCTTCAAGCTGTGGAACGAGGGCCTTATGCACGTCATCCTTGCGCAGGGACCATGCTAATCTTCTCTGTATCGTTCCAATCGTAAGACCACAAATACTTCCCGAAGTCGAGGCCGCAAATTCATTAGCGGCCGATAGCTGGGCGAAGTACAGATGTTTTAAACCGCTAGTACACGGCCCGAGCCTTGCAGAAAGTCAGGCGCCCCACGGTCAGGCCCGCCGATGGAAAAAAAAAATCGAAGTCCTCCGAAGTGACGCGGATTTCGTGCTGACATCCGTGGTCCTATATGTGGTGTACTGGCGATATCCCGAAGGACGACTACGGTACCAAATCAGCCTAGTCTAATGTTCAATTTCACTCCTCTCCTCCCGTTACTGCTAAGCGACAGATGTATTCATCTAAACGCCGGGACAAATGATATGAGGACTTCAATTCTTACCAACGACACTATACACGCCAGAAGGGTCTCCCTTTCTTCACCGTCCAAATGGGTACCGAGCGCATGAAAAAAAAAATCGAGTTTCGCACCTCCGCTCCAACCGTTCAGTCCTTACGGATGCTATACACGCCAGAAGAAACATCAACCAGCAGATAATAACCCCTTCAGGTCAACAACACGCGGAACATAACACACATGACTTAGCCAATTCCCAATTCCCCTTGCCACTTCAGCGCAAGTGCCATAGCACGGGTTTAACGCACGGAACACGGCACAGCTTCAACGCTGGAAATTTGATGCACGCTCACATAACATTCTTACGCTACAACACTTCAGAACACCCGGTACAGTGAAATCTCGACAACGACCGGATGTGAAAATACACTTACACCTGACTCGGAACACTGAGCGCTAGGAACATAGCATGTCTTCAACGGTCGGATTCTGCTGCAGTCATAATCGCACCCTCACCTAACAGTCACACAATACACATCGCTCCAGAACACCCGGTACAATGGATCGTGCCAACGACCAGACAAACCGTGAGGGAATACCCGAACGACCGATTTACGTTCAAGAAACGCCGTAATTGGAACGATCCACGACGGTGGACCAGAAACCACCGCAAGTTTTAAGCCCGTCCGACCCTGAAAGCGCTCCCAAAGTGATTGCTCACTCAAATACATCTGGATAATGCCCTAATAAGCGTATAGGGCATTCCATGAGTGCCTCCGACTACTAAACTCGTCCCTTACATCCCGAGCATTCCGCTACGATCCACTCGCAGGCCTCTTTCACCCAAATAACGCCCGGTACGTATTTCGGGCATCTTTAAGAGAAGATACACCCTCAATGACCAGGCATTCTGCTCAGGTCAAAACAGTGGCATAATTACACATCCAAAGGAACCTGCACGCTGACGCATTCGTGATTCAAAAGCCGCACCTGGTCAAAACCCACACCTGGCGCGAGATCCAAAAGCCGCACCTGGTCAAAACCCACACCTGGCGCGAGCTCAACCTGTCCGTCTGAGACTCCAACACCTACCGTTTTCCTCCGAATATCTCTGAAAGGCCATTATGGTTGTATTTTACATAACCACCAACCTGTCCGTCTGAGACTCCAACACCTACCGTTTTCCTCCGAATATCTCTGAAAGGCCATTATGGTTGTATTTTACATAACCACCCTTGGATACAGCAACGATACCCGTGCTTTCTATTCGGGTGCGGACAATGGCAGATCGCAGCCAAACATGACACGCACGTGATGCAGGATATGGACACATCCGAAGATGACGTTTCCCCGCACACCATGATCTCCTATCTCTACGATCGACCTGACCCCTCAAAACGCAGGACAACGACGAAGATATCTACACGGTCATTTCAGGACGCTCCAGAGGACGCACGTAAAAAGCTGATTCATTGCATCGATATACACATTTAACCAAAGATATCTACACTGCATTGAACTGCCGGTGAGGAACTGTTCAGAAGACTACTCATTCGCCGTGATCTAGTGACAGCCAGGTCACAACTTATATATCCTCTATACCCAGTTGTCGACCCGCTCCCGCTCGTCACAGCGAACTCGCATCTTTTGCTCTCTCCGTGGCTGTCACAACTTTATATATCCTCCATACAAACCCAGTTGTCGACCCGCTCCCGCTCGTCACAGCGAACTCGCATTTTTTGCTCTCTCCGTGCGCAAACCACACAAACCAATAAAACCAACTTTTGTTCTCTCCTTGCGCAAACCACAAACCAATAAAACCAATGCGCAATCGACGATGTCGATCGCCCAGATTCGCCCTTGATCATCCCATCGCCGTCCATCATTCCAAAACGTTACTGCCCACGGAATTAATTAGAACGCACCGTTAAACTTACAGCAAAACAACGGCTTGTGCATTACCTTGATCGAAACTAACAAGCAATTACCTTGATCGAAACAAACAAGCAATTACGAATAATGTCACCAACATTCTTTCATTTCAAAGATAACCCATCGACAGCAAATGCCGCGATATGCGCTGACCATAGCTATAACTCGACCCATAACTTGATCACGAGCCAACCGTAACTCGATCGTAACTCGATCGCATGACCGGCTCTCCATCGGACTAATCCGGCGAAGTATTATACGGCACAGCATCAGAACCCAAAGCAGCGGACCGAACAATTACACGTCATCGCATCAGCGCCCAAAGTAGCAGAAACCCGATTACCCTAAAACGATCTCGATCAGAGCTGACAATGAAAGTACCAAGGAAAAAACGTAGTACTACAAGCAATTTACATCGAAGCACATTCGAGCTAACATCGACAATACCAGTGAAAATACTAACTGCTAACTGCGAATTCTTCATCCAGCACATTCCAACATCAAATGCAATACGGAATATACAAACAGGGATACGTATTTCCAAGGACGTTAATTCCCCATCCACAACTGAGTAAACGTGCCAATCAAAGAGGACAACGTGCACATACACAATGCTACGGCTTTCTAATGCCTCGCGACTTATACAAAATCAACTTCGCGCGATCCCCTATACCAGACAACAATCAATCGAACAGGATAGCAAATATGCGCACTACGGCGCTCTAAACCTGAGTATAGGATAATAGAAAATTAGATCTCACCAATAGCACTACATCACCATACAACGATCCATGACGCAATCCAATTCACAACGTAGAAATCAGCAATCCGACAGATCACAATGCCGATTCAGATCCCTGCATAGGCGGTCATCCCAGTCCACCTGGCTTAACCAGCATTCGATTTCCAGCATAAGAGCAGTAAGATGAACCACCGAAATAGCAAACCCATCTGGACCTATTTACCAACCTACTCAAAAGCCACTACAGTCTTCCGCCGATAAAACAATGCACGCCGATTACGAAACTATTCAAATAATGTCTCGCGCCAGACCGACAGAGTGTTGATAGGAAGACGATAATCCAATAATATCATTGCATAAGAATTCAAAATGAAACGCAATAACAGGCCCCATCGCTCCTACCGAGAGTAATCAAGCCCAGTGTGGGTGTACTTGTTCATTGACAAGCCAGGCTTACAATCCCGATGAAACTTCCCGTCGCATAGCCGACTTTAAAGAACAATACTCTTATGAACAGTACTGAATTTAAACAGTAATGAATTTGAACAGTAATGATTTGATGATACCTGAGAGAGCCGCAGACTAGCTACACTGGCAATTGACACTACGGAGGGAATAAACGTAGAAAAGCAAGATACGTAAACCTGCAACAATTCTGGCACTGTTCCAGCATAGGAACTGCCGAGGAACTTAAAAACATAGCCGACTTCAACAAGCAAGACTTTTAGGTACAGTACATAATTTTATGCTACCTTAGAGAAAGCCACAGCATAACAACGCCTAGCAGAATTTTATGCTACAGCCTAACAACGCCTAGCAGAAACACAGTCGGCTTGACGAGACTAATAACTTTCCCATTCATGCTCGAGTCTAATCACTTTTCCCTTAGGTATTACCCGAGATGGCAGGAATCGAGCAACACTTTAGAACGCCTATCAGAAAGTTTACCACAGTCTGACTCAGCTTCACGAAGGATAGGAATCGTGAGACCGATATCGCAAAAAACATAAACAGCAGCATCCTCACTCAGGTCACGCTCTTAAAAAGGGTAGGTTAACACTCGCACCTTGTTCAGCCACGGATCATGAAGAATATCAGCACCGCGCTTATCAACGAGAATGGGCCGATTACCAAGAGAGGAGTACGCTCTTGACAGATCTGCAGAGGCGAGCGAGCGCGCCCAGGATCCAATGCGACCACCATTTTTCGCAGACTCGCGTACGAGACTGCCCAGCCTCGACGCCATGACGATTGCTGCTTAGGACAAGCAGCAACTTCTTCCTCCTCCTCCTCTTCCTCACCTCTTGTTCTCTTCCTCCGTTACGCAGAGACTTCTAAATCGATGCAAGGCGGAATCAATTACACTTCTCCCAGAAACGATTACGATGCCGCACGCGAAAAATATTGAAAAAGCGATCAGTCAGCGTCTTCCTTGCTCCACCAACTCCCCGAGGAAACCGCTTTCGCCGCCTCGATGATGTGATGATGCCAGGAAGACGCCGTATCGGCACCTGTATATAGCTCGAGAGCACACGCCAGCGCCCGCACCGCACTTGCGGTTTTTAGCACGTTCGCTGGTATATAAACGAACGTTCCAACGTGGGCAAAACTCAGATGGTCCACCGTGGGAGAGCGAGAAGGAGAGAGAGCAAAACACTCACGTTAGGACTTTCCTCGTTGTACGTGGCCGCTTTTTCCGCCCCGCCAGGATGCACCTGACCACATTTACGACCACCGAGAAGTGGGAAAATGCCCCGACTATTTGCACTTCGGCGGCAGTATCCGAAATCCGTCCGGCCCAAGTAACGAGGAGCGAGGCGGGAAGGGTTGTCGAAAAAAGACAAAAAGGGTACGAGCAGGGGGAAGGGTGGGAAAAACCAAAAGGGCATGCCGGCGGCAGGCAGAGGCCACTCTGGTCTCGCTTTGCAGTCACTCTTCCGCTTTTTTTGCGGAGGGGGTTTGATTCGCAGATACGCCACCGGTGTCAGCTGTGCATGGAAAAGGTCTGTCCGCTGATCGGGGAGAAAACGATACGACTGTCGCGCCAGTTGCGGAGCGGCGCCTTCGAAGTGAAAGGTGCCAATCGAAAAAAAAGAAAAAAGAAAGGTGCCGATCGAAGTGAAAGGTGCCAATGAGGAAAAAAAAAAAAAAAAAAAAAAGAAAGGTGCCAATCTTGTCTTGATTCCGAACTGAAAGGTGCCAATCTTTTCTTTTGTTTTTTGAAGGGCGACGGCCTTGAGATATCATCATCGAACAGACCGGCCCCAGGTAATTCAGATATTCACTGAACTGACCGGCTCAATCTCGATTCGAACTCACGTCATCTTCCAAGAGTTTCTAGCACTTTTCTTATTATCTTTTTTTATTATTTCTGGACAGAATTGCGGCCAGATGCATATACGTGCGGTCATAATGCGGTCAGGGACATTTAAGATAGTGGTCGTGTGGGTACGCCCTGAGATAGGGCCGTCAGTAAAGGTGCCAATCTTGCTTGCGGCGGGTTGCCGTAGAGAGCTGCAGTGCCAATTCTGGTCTTGATGAGTACATTGAGTAGCGGTAATACCGGCAGTAACTAGTTGAACAGGGGCTTTTTGCTTGGATTGGAATGAGGGCTTACTCCAGATTCTCATTTAGGGACTCGCTGGACTACTTGCCCAATGTAAAACTTGTGGGTGGTTCTCCGTAGCTCCGGAGCCAGGATCCACCAGCCTCTAGTTATCAAATTTGCTGAGTGCCAGTGAGTGGTGGAGACAAGCCCTTTTTTTTCCCTTGATTTATGCGTGCCATTCTTGCGAAGGGGTCATGTTGACCGGATGTCCCGAATGACGAAGGGCAGTTTTCCGTCGCTGCCTCAGCTTTGGTTTTCCAGCTCTGTTTGTAGATTTGCATTCCGCGGCAGAGGGCACCATTTGGGCCGTATCAGGCCTACCCTTAGCCTTCGGAGGTGGGGTCCTTTCCGGTAGATTCTTTTTCAAGGGCAATGGACGAACACATATTACAAGCGAGAAATGACAAAGTTCACGGATGCTTCCTCCGCAATGAGGGAAGAACCGAAGGTTGACCTCCCGCCTCCCGCTGTGCTATGCCTGCGTTCAGAACTGACAGCCCAAGTTCACCCAGGCCAATTTGGCAATGAGACTGAATAGGCCACTGGCCCGAAGGCACGAAGTGCTCAGCCGAAGTTCGGTCGCACACTTTGATAACTATAGGTGACCTTCATGCTCAAGACTGAAGAGACCGCTCTCTTGGCTCCAATAGAGCATGCTTCTCAGGGCGTACTCACACTACCACTGAAAAGAAAACTCGTCGTCTACGGAACTTTCGGAGGCCCAGCGCCGTAGATAACGAGAATCTGCGGCGGGCGGCCTCCAAAAAAGGGCCCGTGACCAATAGCTGGACATACTGGTGGTTTGAACTGCCAGCAACTTTCCCATATGTCGGCCGTGGGCCCTGTGAACCGAGCATTTGGGATGCATCTGGCCGGAGTGCCTGCCCAGGGCCGACCTCCGGGCAATTTTTTTTTGCCTGGACAGTTTAACTGTGCCTGGCCACATTTAGGGCTGGACTCGTGGCTGCAATAGCCGCCAGAAATAAGTAAAAAAGTGCTAGTGTGCGTATCCCCTCACTCCTGAGGCTTCCCCAACCGGCCTATGGGCCTCGCTGCATTACTCATGAAATGTGATTTTCCATGAGCGCCGCACCGCTGCACTTACTCGTGAACAATGCCGTAGTTTCACGCGTCAAGAGCTGTCAGATGCAACTCTTGCAAACTTCAAAGCGTTGTCATCGCTGCACTACTCTTGCCTCGTCACTCTTGAAAATGTGTTTCAAGAGCTCCCAGGGCCCTGTCAGGCGAAGTAGACTAGAGCGCTCTTGTTCGCCTGCCTGCAACTTCGGTCTTTGCAAGGGATGTGACGAACCAGCTTCTGAGCCTGCACCATCTTCCGGACCCCTTCTCTCTCTTTTTTTCTTTCAAAGTTTACTCAGCCCAACAAGGCCCCTCTCTGTTTTTTTATTAAAGATGCCTTGCTGAGACCCGTGTTGATTCTTGAAATTTTGCTTTCATAATTCGGAAAATGCATGGGAATTGTGCGTGCTTTAGTGAGCGCGCTAGGAATTTGGCTCGGCAGTTAGGAATTTCGAAATAAACGGAACCCAACGTGTCCTTTTTGTGCATGAATGTTCTCGATCACGTCGCGGAAAACTCCGAGTCTGGGAATTTGGTGGGAACACGAAGGGATGTAGGACTGCCTTTTCCCGCGCCTACTTTACGCGTGGATATGGTGATTTCAATTTTTGAATTAGCATAGGATTTAGGAATCTGTAACTGTTTTGGTGCCTTTTTTTGCATTTGTGATCGGCGCCATGCAAGCGAGCTTCCCCCTTTCTGCTCCCCTCGCCATCTTCGACGCTCCCTTCGCGCCCGCGCTCACTCTCCTGCCGTAACTGTTATTCCCTCTCTCTCTCTCTCCTTCTTTCCCCGCGCGCCTTTTCTCTTTCTTGATCGTCTGAATCTTGGATCCGTTTCGCGCTATCCAGCGCACTCTTCTTCCTCCCACTCTGAATCCTACGCCCAAGAGCCCGGTCGATCCTCTCTTCACTACCGCCCAGCCAAGGAGACGCGCCGTGTAAGGAGAAATTCCTATCACGCGGCGACTCTGATTGGTTGTGATCGGACTCAGCAGGATCGACATGACTTTCGCCGGGCGATTATCCTCAAGTCCTCTCTCACCCTTCCCTGACTCAACCTTCATCCTCCCTCGTACCTACCTCCCTTCCCACAACTATAAATTCCGCAAGCGCGCTCGCAAATCTCTCTCTCAACTCGTTTGCCACCTTTCGGGAAGCAGTGGCTAGATGGTATGTGTGGAGTGCGAGTCGGAAAAGTCCCGACGAGTTGACTGTAGCCTGGTCGGCGGTGCATGTGATCGCCACGACGGACTGTGGGATCCGAGCAGGCCGTGTCGAGACTAAGTCGGCGGGGTGACGATCGCAGTGGTGGAAAGTGGCACGTGACGGGCGGGATCGTCAGTGCATGTATGGGGATAGTGATCAGAGTTGAATGGATGAATGGCCCGGAGCCATAGTGGAACTTCACGGCGGATGCGTCTCCTTGTCTCGAATCTATTCTTTGGTGTGAGTGCAGTTCAACGACAGTTAAGTCGGGAATTCTTTTCATCTTCGGATTTTTTGCGTGGTGCTCATCTATCTTGTTGCTCTCATTCATTTCGCACTTCTTCTCCCCACCTACTTTATGGCATGAATGACTATGTATGCTTGTCATGAAATGGTTGTTTGATGGGCTTGCGTTTGATTAGCCATGCGATGGCGGGGCAAGGGTGCAGAGCACACAGAGAACTGAATTATGCATGGCTGCCGTTTTCACACCTTCCGCGATAAGTGATCGCAAGTATTGATGGAAATACTCGAATGATGAAACCGTCATTTGATGGATTGGTCTTCGATTAGGCCGAAGAGTTGTTACGACTGGAATGTATGAACATGGTTGAGTCGTCGGTAGGGACAATGTTGTTGGGATTTGCTCAAGGATGCAAGAGTGTTTAGATATGTCGGTGATGTGAGTATCCCGGGATCTTTTAACCCGGAACACACTGCGCCCGCCATCTGCCTTATGCTGCACGACATTTGCAGCTTTCCCTCGATAAGCAAAACCTGAGAGGTGGCAGAAACAAATGGCGCCACGTGCGACTTGCACACGTGGATCAATTGTCGTGTCTCGCCAAATGTAAGTTCCGTCCCCACGATTTCTCTATGAAGACTTCCTGACGAGACCGCTAGATCATCGCGGATACTCTCTGAGACTCTCTCTCTCTCTCTGAACTATTTTATATGTTTTTTGAGAAAATCGGGGAGCGTTCTCATCTTGCTTCGCATGACTAAGGTGAATAAAAGCTAGCGTCGGAAAAACCCGATCGATAGGTTATGTACTTTGGATCATTACGATTGTCGGACTAATGATGAATGATTGAGGCCAACCTTTCGCGACTGATTGGATTGCCATGTGGACTGATGTCCTCAACCCGACTGGGCGTCGGCCTCCCGTATCCCCGTCGCGTCCCTTTCCGTACAACGAGAAGATGGCATGTGTATGCGAGTGGGATGTACGAGAAGCCGTCGCCAAGATCGGCGCCCGATATTATTTCCCTCCAGAAACTCGGTGCTCGGGGTTTGTTGGTGCTGGTTTTGTCATTGTTGATATGCATTTTCCGCCTTATTGGTTGCCATTACCATTTAATGAGTTGATCGTCATTCCGTGGACGACAGTGGCGCCCCATTGGCCTAACACTCTGTGCAACGATTGTTGTCGCTTCGAGCGTTACCAATCACAAGGCTTTCACTACCGAGTACGGAGTGAGGACGAACATAAGGAAAGAGCCACGCGGCTGAGACCCTCCACGCCGGATTCTGAGTTGTGCAATGAGCGGCGTGGGGATCTGATATGAAAACAAGACACCATGTGCGTACCCGCCCCCTTTCAAGCGAAACGAAGAGCAACGGTCCGATGGGAAGTTCAACGATACTCTTTGGATTGAACTTCCCCGCGCCGTGCGTCCCGCGCACGCCTTTTTCTCCCTAAAAACCTGTGCAGTGACGGACCCTCCCCTTCTAACCAAGTCAGACCGACACAGGGGATTTCGGTTTTGTCCGTGTCCCCACACTAAACTTTCCAAAAATCCTTGGCATACCCCATCTCGCTGTCTCTCTGGGGCCCCTTCCGCAATTTAAATACAC